CTCATTGATCCCGTTGGGTGTACGTTACTGATCGCTGAGGTTGAGCTGAAATGCTCACGCTCTCTGGCTTACGCATTTCGTGGGGTTCTTTGAATCATTCGTACGGTTGGAAGGCCGAGTAAATGAAACTAACCCACTCAGCAACATGGATCGCCATAAGTTACTTACGGTTATGTTTCTATGGTTTCAGTTATGGTGATTCCCCAATAACTCCCAGAAGAGTGACAGTAATGAAAAGTGCACTCACTCAGGTGAAAAGTGCTTTTGCGTGAAGATAAGGTGACTAACTGCCTGTTTTTCGCTATTTCCGATTTTTCTCCGGTTCAGAATAATGGTTTCCGATTAATAATTATCTATGGTACATTCTCGCTTGTAAAGATAAAAGCCCCACAATAATAAAAACATTTAATTATGAATATTAAGACTAAGTACACAATTCAGTCAAAACAGTAGTTTCCGTACATTTGAATTGAACGTCGCGCGCGCTTGTCCACATGTATCGACACGTAAAACCCCCAGTGACAGCTGGACAGTGCGCCAGTCGCGCCACTCAGCTGCGAACTGGCGGCCAGTTTAGAAACAAGAGTTCGACACTAACTGTTGATCAAAGGATAGTGAAGACTGTTTGAAATGACGAGGATCCAGAATGTTTGGCCGGGGGACATGACGGAGGCCACACAAAGAATTATGGTAAGGTTCTCCTTTGAAGAGAAGTGCACTTTTCAGTAGTGAGCCCAAAGCGTTTTACCCAGAAAAGATGCACAGGCCTTCGGAATAATCGAGGTCGAGATGCATCCGCCAAAACTTGCCTGGATGGGTGAAAATGCACCATGGAGTGCAGAGAATGATTGTCAGGACCTACGACCTCTCCTTGAATGTTGAACAACCTAGTGAGCCCCGTTTTCAGTGAAAAATCACCGACTAAACCGGCGAGAGCCAGTCACGTGGCTCAGTCGCACGAAGTGACGCCGTTGTGCCCTCTCTGACAATGACAGACTTTGGAGCACAATTAACCCACCATTCGTGTGTTTAATTAGTTCCCGATCGGTCGCAGACGGTTTATGAAGTGTTTGAGGCCAGATTAAGGGCATAAGATGGGAAGAAAGCATGAAAATAAGTGCACATCCGCTCTCCGGCGTCGTGGATGTAGCAGCAGTCTACATGGCGGCATAATCCTTTATCCGAGCGAATAGCAGCCTCAATAGAGTGATCTTCTTCAGTAAAGTTCCTCAATGATTTAATTGATCAATTTAAGGCTTTTCGTTGACTCGAAACTCCTGAAAACCGAAAATAAGTAGCTCGTGAGCTTCCTGGAATTCAGATGACCTCACGACGCTCCTAATGGAGATCAAGCTCGAAGCTGGAGGTACGATTGCACCTTTTGAGTGGCATATTGCTTCCCCAGAGTTTTCTATCCTTTTTATTTTGGTTTAACCGTCATATTTCCACGGGTTTTCGTCACAAAGGACTTCGTCCTGTCGATAGATCCTCCGGAAATCCAGCTGCTAGATATTGCTGAGTGATCATCGGCGAAGACCCCCTATCCTTTCCAGACTCCCTATATTTTCCCCTTCGCACATATCACTCTCTTAACGACTACTCGTCTACACTCAGTCTTCATAAATAAATTTTTTTTAATGAAAATTTGAGATTTTGAGATTGTATTTGACTCATGTGGCTAAATTCTATACGAGGTATTTTTCCATTCAACTAAAGTTTCTTTATTTTTACATTTCCCGATTTTCGGTAAATGTTAAGAAAGACGGCCCCATATGAAATTCATTTATCGCGTACAATATTCGATAAATGAAGGAATTTCAAGGGTTTCAAAGATTGAATTGAGTGTCGGAAGTGGGTCTTTGAAGATTAAGAGGTGATGAATATTATGATGTACGCAATAAAGGCAGCGGCATTAGGTCAACCAAATTAATACGTACCGTTTGTCGTATTATTCGGAAGACTGGGTGCCGTATATATAGAATACGAACTGTGTTCTCAGATGTGGCAACTCTGTTGTGCGGTAGACATGAAGCTGGATGAGCGATTCGATTCGTGTTCAGATCTGAAGCGAGTCCCTCAGTTCCTCACAGACCGAAATGTGTTATTAGTGAAGTGATGTGCCATAAGTGCAGTGTACTTCCACGGATACCTTGCCGAGCACATGTTTAGACGCTCCATAGGGTTGGAAGACAGGTTTGATACCTGCATTAACACTGTTGCGAGACATTACCCTCCAGCAATCATCTCATCACATAACGGTTCTCAATAAGCTTGCTCCCGTCTCAGCCCGGCAGAAATATTTATTTAATATTGGGGCGATTCCACCAAATATCAGCACAAGGTGTTCTCGTCATTTTTCCGAACCTGGATTTCGCATTTAATTGCAATAATATACGTGAAATAAAAGAAAATAAACACTCACTCAGCCCTCTATCTCAAACATTGGCTGAGTAAGAGTGAAATGAAGATTTCGGTAAAAAAAATTTCAATTCAATTTTTCAAGCATTAAAAGTTATCAAAAATGAATTGATCAGGCGTCAATTTTTTTTTCAACTCCTTTAGTGTGGAAAGGGCTTGGAATGGTTTGAAACGCCGATTTCGAGGTGTTCCCCACGTTGAAAAAAAAAAAAAATTCTATTGAAAAGCTCGGAAAATTTCCGATCGAAATCACTTTTCAAATTTTCCTGCACTGAAGATCTTACCCTTCTAATAAATGAAATTCAAAACTTGGGAAATTTTTTTTTCAAGGATTACAGAATCCACTCAATTTTATCGAAATTCTTTGCGACAATATAGTATCCGACTTGAAATAGAGCTGAACGTGGTGTCATTTATACCAACAAAATACAGATAATGAATCATCAGCTCTCCCATTCACATTACTTAAGCTACCAGAAGTTCCCGATCACTTCTCCGTACGAAGGAGTTTCATTTCCACGAACTTTGTGGCTTTGCCATAAATTTGAGACACTAGGGTATCAACCTCTCCAGGAATCATTGCATGGAATTTTTTCGTCCCAGGAATTCCCAATGCTCTTGCTGTTCTAGGTTCCAGAATTTGCTTAGTCAACTCATATTGTGAATTGGGTACGAATTCAAATTTCACGTTTCTCTCATTAGAGTGAGACCACTCATATAAAGATTGAGCTACTGTGATATTTATAAGTCCTTGGAGACTAGCTCGGCAGGCGTTCCTTTTGAATGAGCCCCCTAGACCATCAGACGCGGTTTTTCCATGAGCTGTGGGGAAAAAATTCTATGCAGCTGGAATTTCGAAATCTTTCTTATGATAAAGCAAACTCACGAACGCATTTTTATCCTTGAATTGGGATGGCGCCCCATCAGAAATGTAATGAATTTTATCAATCTTCTCAAATTGAGATTTCAGAAAAAGTATCAATTCTTTTTGAAACATGTAAACTGAAATGCTGACATGTTTCATGCAATCAGAGATCCCTATTCAGGATAGATTCCGAATTTCATCCCCATCTTTGTAATTGTTATGTCCGAAGACGTTATCAGCGTCGAGGAACAACTTTATTTACTTTTCATTAATTTTCCTTAATAAAGCTAGAATTTGTTTAATTGAAATTTTGGACGACGCTAAGCTTTTTTTTATATTCTTACCTTGGAGAATTGATAATAGATGTAAATTTTGGTTTATTCAAAAATAGGAAAGACAAGAAGAGAATTGAAGTTAGTTCAGTTCACGTATTTATTTATTTACTTTTCGTTAGGTCACAAAAACAATGAGTAAATCAATAGAATTTCTATCTCTATCCTTGCAATTATTTCCGTGATCGAATTTATTATGATTTGATTGTTCATTGGACTCACATAATTTTGATATTTATAATCCTTATCCTATTGCGGTGTCAACTTTTTGACTGTGGATTCCTAGGGCAATCCTGCCACGTTTCTCTGCCAGTAAACTATCACAAATACTTAGGCGAGAAGCCTTTCTTCCACTTATTATGAGAAATTTGGTTTTATATTGTTAGAATTTAAATGTCCAGCACTTATAACTAATTGAGCCACACCCACCGGTCGTTCACAACAAGTTCTCTTCACTTGTAAGAAACACTTTTACCGTCGGTTAAAGAATACTGTATTCCTGATCTATTGCCGGTTTCTATTCTCTACTATTATTCGAGAATAGTTCGATTTTTAATTACTCTATTCGAAAACCGAACAAAAGTCAGACCGATTCCAAAGAAATTTTCCACCAAGAAATTGATAGTCACTCGCGAGAGGGTTTTTAGAGACTGATTTGGAAAAGTTCGATTGGCCGGATCCCAGAGTGGGGGAGGTGTCATTTTCATTTCTTTATTCTTCGGTCATCGAACTAACTTTTGTTCTTTGTATTTTTTTTTTTCAACTTGCATTTTGGGGTGCTGTTGGCCCCTGAGAAATGCATACGTTGCGCATTCTCTGGTCACTGGCATCGTTCATGTACGTTGAAAAGTAATATTTAAGTCGCTACAATTTCGGGTATTTTAGGCGATAAAATCAAATTAAAATAATTTGGACATTACAGCCCCCGCTGAGAAGCTTTCTTTTCCCATGTTTTTTTTTATGGTGAAGGAAATCTTATCAGAGAGAAACGAATCAGATTATTATTTTTTTTTGTATTTTATTTTATAAGGAATCGAAAATTGGATTGGCACGCTTGTAGATTCTTCAATCTGCTGTCGGTATCGCGCGCTTTTGATTGACAGGTGTTGTCGGTAAATGTGGGGGCGTGGCTGGATTAATTAATATGCAAATCCGGCCGTCAGAGGCACTGGGGCACTGGGTCACGGCGATGAGTGCTTATCGGTCACCATTTTTATTTCCGATTGATTAGCACGTGGGTCGCAACAGGTGTTATTTTGAGTTATTGGTTGATTTGCTGCTGTGTTCTTCAGGAAAGATAATTATTATGTATATATTTGTGTGATATTGTGGTATTGTGATATTTCGTGAGGGTAATTGATTAATTTATTGATTAGTTATTTTAGATGCGTGGTTGTAAGCGTGAATGGAGGAGATTGTTTGGGGTGCAGGCACGTGTTAATCTTTTCCGGTGTGACCGTCCCATGGGGGCAACTACCGTTCCTCGGGGTCTTATGGAGTATGTGGGGAGAGTTCTTGGGGAGGATCCCGACTATCGTGCCCTGATGCGGGTGTTCGATACATTGCTTTTCGGAGGAAAACTGCGTGGTTATACTTTGTGGAGAAGCAAGGATTTTAAGGACACGTTTGGATACACTGATTTCTTGCAGCGGAAGATTTTCCTGCAGGAATGTCTTTTCTCTGCTGGTCTCAGTAGGACGGTTTTGGTGAGGATTATTTTGCATGAGTTATGCCATGCTTATGTGGATGTCATGGGGGGAGATCGTATGGAAAATCAGCTACATGGGTTCAACTGGAAGAGGGAGGTGATTAGAGTGAATGAGGCTTTACAGTGTGATATTGAAGATGAAAGTGATGTGGACTGGAAGAGATTGAGGAGGATAGGTTTGGATAAACTTTATATTTGTGAAAGGTGTGGGCTGCGTATTATCAGGATGATCAAATGGTTACCTGATGCTAAATTCTTTTCCTGGTTTCCTCNTTGATCGGTGTTTCGTAGACCCTTTGGATGTGGGATCGTCGGATTGCTGTTTTTTTTGGCGCCTGTCTAGTTGATTTTCTAGTTTTTCGGCAACAGCAGCGGAGGATGCTAAGCACATTGAATCCCTTTTTGTAGGCACTGTACCCCATCATGGTAACTACGAGTGATATGATTAGTGTGATGGTGCCATTGGTTGCTGTAAAGATGCGATGGTAGTAGTCTTCTTGGTGATGCAATCCAATTCTCTCTGCTTCATCTATGGTGCTTTGAAGCGAGTCATCGAACAGATGGTCTTTGTCGAGATTGGGTAAGACGTGTTGTTTCAATGTTGACATTGGGTTTAGTGGTTTTGGCAAGTCACTTAATATTGGTGCTATTGGGTATCGTTCGGCTATGCTGATGTTTTATCNTTAGTGAATCGAATTATTTATAATTAATATATATATATGTATATATATATATATGTATATATATATATATTCAAAAAAATATATATATATACATATTTTTATTTTTATTATTTTGTTTTTTTTTTTAGTTCATATGAAGATTGGAGTGACGGGGAGTAGTTGTGTACCGAAAGGGGGATTTTTGAGGGTGAAGATGATGTCCGTTGGGATTCTAATCTCGGAATCTAAGGANATTGTGATGTGGTTGATATCATGTCTGAGGCAAATCTTACATGCTTCGACAGCAGCTGCGGTTTCTGCGATGATATTGGTTGCACGAACTCCGTCGAGAGTTTTGTAAGTGTTTAGGGGATGTCCTTCTCCGAACCAGATTCCGATCCCTGCTTTAGCGTTAGTCATACCGTTGAATGAGCAAGACCCGTCCACGTATACTGAGGTTCTTTTTTTTGCATATTCTGTAACATGGGTGTTGATGGGTGAAATGCATCGTTGGTAGCCCTGGGCAGCACTAGTAATAGTTAGTCTTTGCAGGGTTTCAATTTATTCGGATGCTTCATGAAGCGATGAGCGTCCTCGCTCTCGANGTCGAGAGTTTTGTAAGTGTTTAGGGGATGTCCTTCTCCGAACCAGATTCCGATCCCTGCTTTAGCGTTAGTCATACCGTTGAATGAGCAAGACCCGTCCACGTATACTGAGGTTCTTTCCTGCATATTCTGTAACATGGGTGTTGATGGGTGAAATGCATCGTTGGTAGCCCTGGGCAGCACTAGTAATGGTTAGTCTTTGCAGGGTTTCAATTTATTCGGGTGCTTCATGAAGCGATGACCGTCCTCGCTCTCGAGGTAAACATTCCCCTTCTCGGTGATATCGACTATTTCGTAAGGCCCAGTATAGGCTTGGTCTAGTTTGCCTAGTTTTGGTTCTTTTTGGACGTAAGCAAACTGCCCAATTTTAATGTCCACTGGTCTTGCGTTTCTATCGTATAGCTGTTTTGAGCGCAATTTAGATGCTTGGAGATGTTGGTGCGCTAGTTCTTGGATTTTCTCCATTTTAAGCATTAAATCAATTACATAGTCGTTGTAAGTTTCGATGGTTTGATCCTCTTCGCAGATGTTAGATGGGAGTCTGACCTTTTTCCCGTATAGCAATTCGAATGGGGTAAACTGGGTTGCACTATGTACTGTGGTATTGTATGACAGTACTGCAAAAGGTAGTAGTTCGTCCCATTCCTTGGTCTCTGTCGCGAATGCTTTGAGGTATTCTACCAGAGT